GTAGTAACGACCAAAAAACGATCATAATACTTTTGATAATTTTTACTTTGTATTTCTACTTTTAAAGCAAAAATAATTTCATAACTGTTGTTGTGTTATTTCAAATTCAATCATTTTTATAGAAGTGCGTTGTTACAACTTACCCCGTGTTTGGCGCTAGTTGTAACATCCGCCGGGATCAGTAGTAACGACAAAAAAAAAACGACTTAATACTTTTGATAATTTTTACTTTTTATTTTTACTTTTGAAGCAAAAAATCATCCACAAACTGTTGTTTCGTTATTTCAAATTCAATCATTTTCTATAGAAATGAGGTGTTACAACTTACCCCGTGTGTGGCGCTAGTAGTAACAATCCGCCGGGACAAGAAGTAACGACAAAAACGACCTTTGATAATTTATTCTTTACTTATTTGAAAGAAAATTAAAATGTTGCTTAGTAGGTCTTAGTAGCATGTAAATAAGTATTAATTTTTATTGTTTAACAAATTGTATTAATATATTGTCAAAGTTTAAGAAAAGGTATTTGAAAACCTTGTGCTTTTACAAAAAGTTTTCCTAGTATTACAGACATTGGTAAATAATTAAAGCATTTCCTAAAAAATATAAATATTGATTTATAGTATTTTTTATATTGTAGAGTATTATTTTAACCCTTTAACTCACTAATTTGTCTTACGTCTTATAGTTGCATTTGTTTATATAGGTATAGAGGAGTTATGGGTTTATTGTGACAGTTCTTTTGTACTTAATATATCTTGAAATCCACTATTTATATTACGATAATATAACTCAATAGATAATTAACTATTTCTCTACCAATTGAAGCAAAAATAATTCCATAACCGTTGTTTTTGTTATTTCAAATTCAATCATTTTCTATAGAAGTCCGTTGTTACAATTACCCGTGTTTGGCGCTAGTTGTAACATCCGCGGGACAAGAAGTAACGACAAATAACGACCTTTGATAATTTATTCTTGACTTATTTTTAAAAAAATTGAAATATTGCTTAGTAGTAGTTTCATAAATGAAAAATATACCGTGGTGTACGGCATCGTGCCTTAAGACAAATTATTGCTGGAACTACTCGTAATAAATTATTAGAGAAATTTTATCAATGTTTGTGTAAATAGATTATTACTGTCTATGCCAAATACTAACCATCACGTCTTTCATAAGTAGGTACGAATTTTTTGAATTATTCAAATCGGGTGTAGCATCCGTACTCCCGAATTGTGGACGTGTGTGTGTGTGTGGTATGTATGTATGTTTGGATACAAATTTTCGTCCACAATTCGGGGGCACAAATCAACCGATTTGAATGGTTCAAAAAACATTTTACTTGTAATGACCAAATGAGTAATTGATGAAATTTTTGGTAAGGCAGCGCTACCGGTTTCGGAAATAAAGAGAAAAAGTAAAAGAAAAGGTATTGGTTGGTCAAAAATGAAACATAGCCTATGCACATAAAATTATTACGATATTTGATGAAGTTGTTAAAAATGAGTAGTAATTTTTTTGTTACAATTTTGTTGGGTTTCGTACCAAGATTTTAATTTTTGAAGTTCACTTACACGGTTCAAGCAAATTTCAATATTTTCCGAAAAAAAAAAAAATTTCAAAAATATACAAAGGTTTATACTTCAAATATGAATTGGAAACTTACAATTCAATTTCAAAACGTATATATTTCAAATGCGTTATTGTAATCGTAAGAAATATATCCTCAGATAGATTCATTCGGCACCTCTTGCTAATGTAAACATTCTCGATTGTTTGGAGCTATAAGATCGTCAATGTATATTTTATGAATGATAAAATATTTAGAATATAATATGAATATAATTATCTATTTGAAAATGTATAAAACAATTGTTTTTAAATCATTGATCAATTTTTATTGATAACTGATTTTTTTCCTCGAATATATAATTCTGGTACGGAAAGCTCCAGCAATTTGCCTTAAGGCACGATGCCATACACCACTAGTTATAATATTTTTTATTCTTACATATTCGATTCCGGAATATATTTTATTTATTTATTATTAACAACGATTTATTTATTATATTGATTTGTAGGGCTAATAAATTCACTTTGAAAAAAATGAAGAAAATTTTAATTGTATATTTTTCCTTAGAAGTTTATTTTGGTCTTTTGCTATTGACAAACAGCAAAATATATCATATTATATAGAGTCTTTGAAAATTTCGCTATAACATAAATTATTAACAATTTAATTTTTTTTCTCTAATAAAGAAAAATATATAAATGAGAAAGTCTAGCAAATTTTCTTTACAGTTTCTTTAGGCCAATTTATTGTTCATGTTATTTTTCTGGTATTACGAATTAATCACATAAGACGTTATTTATTTTATAACCATTTAATAAAGTTTATAACACGATTCAATCTTTTTTATAGTAGAAAGTTTTTTAAGCAAAAAATATATTCTATACAGTACCAGGGTTTGACAATATGAATTAAGAATTAAGAGTATTAAAATCAATAGTCGTAAGCAAAATTATGATATAACATAATTATAATAAGTTTATAATTAATATTGTAAAAAAAGCTATTATTGTAATCCTAATATTTTAAAACAACTACATAATATATAAACACCATTTTTAAAAATAAGCTTTTTCAAGTTTAGTAACATTATTTCAATTTAGTAACTTTTATTCTAATTGAAAACATTTATTCAGATAAAACTAAATTACCTTTTGAATTCAGGTATATGTTATGTACTTTTCAAATTAATGAATTTTTAAGAGAATCGTTAAATTTTCTACAAAAAGCAATCAAAAGAAAATAAAATTTAGTTACCGAAACGCAACTTCTGTTTCTGTAAATTTCATAATTAAAATTTATTTTATTAAAAATTATTAATTTTGAGATATATCGATTTACAACATTAATTTTTTATGATTAGAAGGTTTGTTTTTTATGATTAGAGATATGGTTCAATTTAAATGTTAACATCTTCAATGTTATATTACCCATTTCTATGATAATAATTAGTAAAAAATATGATGCTCTATTTACAAAATTCATTAAGTATTGGAGTAAAATGATTTTGATAAATAAATGTTTATACAGCCTTGAAAATCTGTAATCGATGTGATGCACTACTGTTTTATGTATTAAATGATAACCTGCAAGAAATACACATAAAAGAAACATTAAAATCGAAACACCATAAAAACGGTAATAAAATGATAAATATTGTATATTTATTTTATCTGAGCGACATAAATATTTTTGACATGTTATGTCTGGTCCGAATCATATGAATATATCGTATATATGTGCGTATTCAATACTTACATCACATAATGTGGAATCTGGACTGGCATGTTTTCTCCATTCAAAGTAATAATTTAATTCGTATGCTTATCGATAACTTCACAATAATATAACTCAGAAAAAAACTGCTTATAACATACTATATGTTTTATCAAATTTAAATTTTAAAGGCATCAATGTAATAATATGTGAGGTCGGCCATGGCATAAGAACGTGCATTAGCAATCACTTGTTTCGGGTACGATATCCACCTTGGGCAGCTTGATATCAAGTTGTAGTTGTATCAAATTTTTCCTTGACAATGTCAAATATAATGTCAACTAAAAATAGCATTTTTGGGATATTGCTACAATATATATTCAACATATCTATTAGTAACTAGATGGCCCGACAGACGTTGTCCTGCACTTAATTCAAAAGTTCCAATTTTTTTAATAACCTATACTTATATTTACTAATTAGTTAAAAATTATTATGTTTTATTACACTACAGTCTATACTGACATGTATATACATCCACCCATATCGATCTTAAATGAACAACTGCTCTAAATAAAGTGATGAGTATTTGCTTTTTTGAAAAACATTATTAAACATTTTTTCTTATAATTAGTTCTTTTATCGATATCCGACGTTATTTAAAAAAAAAAGAAATTACACCACTGAGAGGGATGTCAGGATGTTGAGTTATGCGCTTACCAACACATTTTGCGATATTATAGATATTTCTAATATATATACGCTGCTTTTTTCATATAAAATGGTGCTAAAATCTGTCAAAACGCATTTGCTGTGCAGTTAGGCATTTTACACTTAAAATCTAACATCTCGCATATGTTATTATAACACATCATAAAGATGCATTCATGATAAGATTCTTTGTTTGTGTAATTACTAAGTTAGGTTTTACACATAAAACGCCTCAAATTGTACTCATCTTCAAATGACAATAATATGTCAGTGCCAGGACTCGAACCGAGTCCTCCATATTTTGGAAATTGTTAGTTGAGACTTTTTAAATTATAATAGTCAAATGATATTTTCCTCTTTTTTATTATT